ATCAGTGTCTTTACTTACCATTCTTTCTTACATTTTTCTTTCTGAATTCAATTTACTTCTTCCTAAATTATATCTTTTAGATTTCCCTCAGTAAGGGATGTAGTTAGAAACTAATGATTTTTTTGTCTGAAAACATCTCTTTTAACCTTCATTAATAAATTAGTGTAAATAAAATCTTTAAAAAAATTAGTCAGGTAAAGGCTGCTGTAATATTTATTCTCACTTAGCACTTTGGAGATATGATTCTTCCATTTTATATGTTCTACAATTGCTGTAAACCTAATCTACTTCTGTCTAAATATCTATTTTATCTTGTAGCTACTTTTAAAATTTGTGTTTATGTTTATTTGTGAGGTAGATTTAGTTGAATTTATCTTGAGATCCACTTAGCTTCTTGAAGAAATAGGTAAATAGGTAGACCAACATAAACAGATTTATATAAATATACAGATACATATTATAAGTTATATATATTAATATCACAATTCTTGAACATTTTTCATGTATTACTCCTTTAAGAGTACTTCTGCTCATTGTCTTTCTGGCTACTATTAGACAAATGTTGGACCATCTCACCCATTTTTTTTTTTTTTTAAATGTCTTATAAGCTCTTTCTTATCACTTTTTCCCCCTTTTTTCCTCTGGTAATGTTATGGACAATCTATTCAGCTCTGATTTCCTATTAATTATTTCTTAGCTATATTTAATATATCTGTACTAGTTTTAAAGCTTATATTGTTGCTTATAAAATTATAATTGGCACTCATTGAAAATGATCTTTTTTTGATAACATCTTGTTTATTTCATATATTTTCTCTCCATCTTTCATTTTTAATTATTTTAAATAATTATTTTCTAATCTATGTTTAGTAATCCCATTATCTGAATGTTTTATTTCTAATTTTGATCTTTGATCTTTCTGTTGACTCTGATTCAAAATTTACTCATTTGTTTAATACTTATGGATTTGAACTCATGCTTAACAGGTTTTATATTCATAATCTCTAAATCCTTTGTTGAGAGTGTGTCCTTCCAGAGAATTTTGGAGACTGCATAAGTTACTAACCCAGAAGTAATTTTTTGTTAAAGCCTCTCTGTGGAATTTCTCTGTTTTTATCAAAAGTTTAAATTTAAGCCCCATACCTGTTAAGAGAATTTCATTCAAGGCTTTTCAATTTCTTATCCTTGAAAGCCCAAGGCTCTTGATAGAGATTCATAAGTGTCCTAGAGAACCAGAAGGTCAGTGATTCCATATTAGTCATTTCCACTTTTTTCCTCATTTTGGTCACTGAAGATTTCCTTAATATACTTCTCTGAGTTGTATTTGCCTAACGTTTGACCTAATTGTTTATGTTTATCCTTTCCTTTTTTATACATATGCCTACTCATAAGACTATACTGGATTTTGGGTCAGGAGCCATTTATGGAATATATGTCATGAAGCTTAGTCATACCAATTCCCTTTCATTCTTGCTTTCTTTCCCTGTTAACACTCATCTTGTGCCACTTCAGCTAAAGTCTCAGACTTGCTCATGACTGATACGAGAAATGAGGACTAGAGTGGTAGTGTAAAGAAAAGGAAATGCCAAAAGAAAAAACTCTGATAAAATTAGAAAAGAGGAGAAAGAATGACCACATCTACATATATCTATATCTGTATGCATGGGTGTGTTCTTGTCAGAGAAACGATACACACAGTATGTATGTATTATATATGCACGTATGTATTTCAGTGATATTGTTGGAACTCAAGAATTTCATTACTAAAATAATTTTCTATGCTGGGTGAGTACCTATTTGCATTTGTTTTCATAATTATTTCTATAATTGGTTCTACAAGTATATGCAGAAATAGCTGCTTACTCCTACCACCTGCTTAGTACAGATATACAGAGAAGGCAATAATACATATTTAATTTATTCTTCTTATTTTCCAACAAATAGTATAATCACAATATTGGAATGATATCCCACTTAGTATTCTGTTCTTGCATTCAAACACCCAGGTTCTTTCATAGAAAATAGATACTCTTTATGAGAACTAAATGGTCAAATATAGAGAGGTAGATGGCTAATTGCAAATGCTATTTGGATAAATTTGCATATGAAAGGACTTAAAAATTATTTTAAGAAAAAAAATTTGTAGGTGCATGTGCTATCCATAAATCATTTTATTTGAGATGACTCTTTTTCTATACTCATGCCAGCATCTCTGGAATCAAAACAAAAGCTCCAAAGTTTTTGATAAGATCTTTCTTGTCTCTCAATCAATTGGTTATCCAGTTATTAAGTTACCTGTTTCTTTCCATATGAAAGAAAGAAAATATGATTTCCATATTTCGTAGATGGCAAGAATAAAGAAAAATAAAAAATTTGGACCAATAAAGATGAATTAGCTAGATGAACATTTTAGATATTCTAGATCATTAAAATATTTTGTGTTACTAGAACTAGAGGTTTTGATTTGTCTTATTCTTTGACAATTCCAGTCACATGGAAGAGAATCTCCAATTAAATGTCCCTAGAACAGATATTGATTAAAACGTATTCTGCTTCATGTTTCTTTCTAATGGGATATTATTTGTTAACTTTTGATTGCCTTTTGAGTGATAGAGTAGACCACCATGGGATCACTGCTCTCAGAATGCCAGGGATCTCTGAAGTCCCTAACCCAGCTATGTTTGCACTACCTCTGACACAGAAATGCATAGCAACAATAAATTCAGAGGTGCTTAACACTGATTTTTTTTTCAGCTTTCTTACATACTAGTGTCATCCTCAATAAATCAGTACTTAGAGTCCATACTCAATTTTTTTGCCCAAATCCAAAGTAATATAGATGATTTTCAGATTTTAATAATTATACCTAAAACTCAATGATTTGTTTGTATTAATATTTATGAAGGTGCTCTCATAAGGATAACTGATTACTCTTGTTAAAATGTTTTGGAAATTTTAATCCTTGTTAAGGAAAGTGCCCACCCATGACCAGGTTGTAGACTCACACTATCAACATATATTAAATTAGTTGTATTACTTCACTTTAAGAACTTCTGGAATTACACCCCCCCACACACAAGAGTTTTATTATTCTTTATTGTGTGTTAGATGCATATTCTTTTTATGAGAATTATAAAAGTTTAGAATGAAGAAGACATAATCAAAGAAGCTACAGGTTGAAATATCATATTCTAGGTTTAGGTACAAAGACTCTAAAAAGTTCTCCCTCTCACCAAATTAAGAAACATTGCTACTATTTTAAATATTCATATAAATCTTTAAATCTATTATTTAAAAATTTGTTATTCAAGAATACTTTCTCTTTTTATAAATTACATGTAAATAGTAAGAAGGTCTTTTAAAAATGGATGAAGAGATAGCCAATTTATAGTTATCTAAGGGAAAAAAATGATATGAGTAATTGCACAAAATTGTTTAACGTTTTGAAACTTAAAATAATTATGGGCCCAAAAGAAGAATGAAGAATAAGACATTGTAAGTGTGGAATGCACTTGCATGCTTTATATAAGCAGTGTTTGCTCTGACATCCTTGACTTGGCCAGAAGTATAAAATTACAAAAGGCAATGTTATCATTTCATTCTCCTTAAAAAGATAGAATCTCTTTTCTAAGATGAAGCTACTAATTTCAGGCTTGTTGCTGGGGTGACCATGTTAATGGCTCAAGGCAAATCTGTCACTATTCCTCAAAACACTAATTTCAAACATATGCTGTGCTAATAGAGGGCCAGGAAGTATTATCACCTTTCCATACAAAATTCAAGCTTGCAAAATAATGATTTTTTTTTAATTTTTAATATTTTTTCAAAATCTAAAAATAAAATAAAATGTATTTCCATATGATACAAAAAACATCTTGAAGAACTTGCTTAAGTAGCCATTTATCAATAGAGGAAATTTTTTTAAATTTGATTCTTTAATTTTTCATGAAACTAAAGATTTCATTCATAATAGATATTACTATTCCTTTAAAATTCAACTTATTACCAAAAATTGATTCAATACAACAACACTTTTCTCTTAAAGGATGACAGATGGACATAAGAAAAATATGCAACATATTATCTCTGTTTTAAATACACTGTTCTCTTTAGCATCATCTTTTGGACATCTCCCATGCCAAAGGCATATCAGGAAGTCTTCTGGGTAGGCAAAAATGAACAGGGTCAGGGCATAAATGCCCAGAGAGAATCTGTTGAGTATTACAGTACAGGTACAAAATATGTTGGGAACATCTAGAAAAAGAAGAGTAATTCCTTCACTTGGTGTCAAGTGAACTTCACTGAGACGTAGTTAGTTGAGGTAGCCCTAAAGAATGGGTAGAAAAAATATGAAGATGAAGAAAAAGGGGTGGACCAAAGTATTGCTTAAAAAGAAAAAAAAAAACGTTGAAGATATGACTTGAGTATAGGACACGGAAAAATGGTGGGAGATAGACTTGAAAGGTAGAATGAGGACTCACTAGATAATTATGAGAGAGGGTCTTCAAAAGGTAGAACAGGAGCAGTTGACTGGAGCAATTGAACATTATGCTATATACCTCAGCTTTTTGTGTATAAAAAAATAGAGTGAACTTTTTTTTTTTTTAACTGAGCAAGGTGATTTATATGTCATCATCAGGACTGTGTATTATGATAAGATTTCATGACTGTGTTCATGCCCTGATAAAAACCGTATTATGCAGGATTCTTTGTACTTTGAAACTTGAACATCAAAATAAAATATGGTTACAAAATATACATTTCCCAGTTTGCATATGCAAAAGATTTTCAAAAACAACCAGTTATCTAATTTGAATCTAAAATGGTGGGGATGAAATACTTTCATATGAAATAACTAAATGATTGAAATCAAATTATGTATCTTTATTGCTTATTTAATTTTACTTCTGTAGATAAATTCACAATGTGTTTGAAGACAATTTGAAACTCTTTGGTAGTTTTTATGATTGCAATATCAAAATATATTTTTGTTGTTTCAGATGATGGTGCCTGTCAATTAACTGAACAACTGTGGTAAGTTGATTTTTTTTCCTTCTCAAATCTGCAGAGTGTTTTTCTATTATTCAAGAGGATTTATGTTGCCTATGAAACCTGTAAAACCATTAACACTGAAAGTCAAGCATACCATGAAATAGGGTCTATTTTTTTTCCCCCCAGGGACTTAACCCTTCCCTTTTCTCTCTGAACTGAGCCAAGAATGGAAATCAGAAAGTGTCCTGTACATGTACATCCAGAGTGTAGGAGGGACACTATTATCCAAATGTTTTCCATTAAATGTGCACCATTTATTTGCCCCCAGGGATGACCCTGAGAAAATACCCAAATGTTCATACCACCAAAGGCAGCAAATGTCTTTTAAAGAAATATTTTTTAAACTAATTTAAAGTTATATAGGCATTTGGTAAGAAGAAGCAGATTTTTCTTTCTTTTCTCCTCTTATTTCATAGAGGTATTAATGATCATGGCCATGATGTATACACAGGCTGACTTTCATGTGTCCAGTTTCATAGCTGATTAAATCTGACTTTGCATTAGTTGAGTCATCATACTGGACAGCAGAAATCAAATGGCAGTTTCCTATCTTTGCTATGAACATGCTTGTGGCTGCTTTCATGGGCTTCTACTGGGTAATATTCTATGTGGGTAAATGAAATGTGGTATTAAATGTTTTGAAAAATAATAGTGATGGTAATAATGACATATATGTGGCAATGGTGTGCCCTCCAAAGGAAGGAAGGAAGAAAAAGTTGAAAGATTTTCTCTGGCAATTTGTTAGGAATTTAGGCTTTTTGTTTCTTCTTTTTCAATTAAAAGTGAAAATTTGGTTTTTAACCAGATTATCTCAATGGAGTGTTTTTTTTTTTCACGTATGCTTCACATATTCAAACTTTCAAAATCTCTCAGTCATTTAGAAAACTAGCATCTTATTGTTAGTTACTGTGTAAGTAGATACGAAGAATATCATATAGGGTTTATACTGATAGTAAAACACCCAACACTTACTGGCATAAATAATTACTTTTTTCTTTATTATTCTTATGAGAAGTGAAATCAGAAAAATGATTTATATGTCTTGCATATTGTCTTGGATTTTTGTGATTGATTATTCATTGAAATCTAAAATAAGTGGGAGTAGTTTCTATCAATCTCATTCATCTCTGGAGAAGTTGGTACACTTTTACATCTATCTTTAGAAAGCAAACAACATATTCCTGTGCTTTTACAATACTGGGGAACTGATATTTTCATGGACTATATTCTCATTGTCAGATTTATGAGGAGAGGACATTGTATTATTATCCATTTTATTCCTTGAGAGTTTAGCAGTTTAGAGTAGATAGAACATGTCATTCCTTTCTTTCTTATTCAACTTCAATAAAGAAACAGTTCTTAAAAAGTGCATTTGTTTAGTGCCCTGCATCTATGCATGGACTAGGCTGCTTGGAAAAATAAGAGATGTGCAGAGATGGAAGTAGTTAGAGGAGAATAACACAAAGCTTGGAGGTATGTGAAAAGTTTATCAAGAGTTTGGATAAGGAAGAAGAATAGACTACTTAGATGTGAGTTAAGGAAGGACAAATGTTTCAGGGGAAAAAAAAAAACTGTGAGTTTTACTGTATATTATATGAGTGCTTCTCAGATTTTAATATGCTCATGAATCCACTGAGCTATCTTGTTAAAATGCAGGCTCCAATTTAGGAGGTCAAGAGTCTGCATTCCTGCCAGCTCCCAGGTGATGTCAAAGCTGAAGTTCAATGGCCATACTGTGAATAGCAAAATATTATATAAATGACTTGTTCACTTTGCCTTTCAAGTAATAAATTTCTTCCCAAGCATTTGACTTGAATTTGATTCTTAGTGTTTTTACTTCACTGCGTAAAGATCAATCTTAAGACTTGAGAAAAAAAATGTCATGTTTTAGTTAAGCCACATACAAAAGACAAAGCAACAACAACAAAAAAACTGGGTCTTGCTAGCTCCCAAGGTCTGCATTCCCCTCATTAATTGATTATAAGGATAAACTGTGGGGATCAGAAAAAGCCAATCTGTTTGAATCAAGTAATTTTCAATTGTACAAGATGTAAGATTTTACAGAAAGTAACTGTGTTTTTTTTTAATATTACAATCTATGCAAAGGCAATCATATCATCACCTTGTAATAGTAAAAATATAAAAAGCAATAGTAGTCATGGGGATTAGAAAATTTTAACTAAAATATAAGTAAACATTATCATTATTACTATGCTTGAAAACGCTTGATTTTTGTTTTCAAGTGTTTTGAAACACTGGTTTTGTATCCTGTTCTCATTGACATTATGAATGTTATCTATTTTAATCATTAGGTTTATTCAGATTCTGAGGAGATTATCAAGAAGGCAAGATAGAAGTCAAACTAGGCTGGGTAGGTAGGTAATACTAAATAATGAATCTAAGAGGCCTTAGTCCAGTCATATAAGGAAAACTGAAGGGTTTTCTAGAAACTGGATTCTCCAAGAGCCTGTAGAATGCTATGGAGTAGAAGTTCTAAAATCAATCTGAAGTTTTCTGTTCAAACCTTTCCTCTAAATGAATGTTTCTTCACCCAAACTGCATGTAAGAATCACCTGGGTGTTAAAAAAAAAAAAAAAAAAAGTTATACCAGGGCTCCACCCAGAACAATTAACTCAGTATCTCTGGGTGGAGCTTAGCATGATGTTCTAGCTTCCTGGTGAGCCCTTGGGCAAGTAGAGTTGAGAGTCAGTGCCATATATTAGGGCTTGAAATTTACATTTGTCACGGGTTCCCAAGTGATATTGATATTACTGCTCCACGGACCACAACTTTAGGTAGTTAGGGCCTACCAGCTCCCACAAGTTTTTCCACATGTTTCAGGAGGATCAGTATTACTTGGGAATAGTTATCTTTTTCAAAGGATGAGGAGAATGGAGGAGAATAGCAGAAAGGAGAAAAAGGAAGATCCAAATGGCACATGGTGTGGACCTGGGTAGAATATTCAGCTCCCCACATGATTGAATTTGAAGAACAATGAAAAATTCCTGCATTCCAAAATATCTCAGCTCATGAAATAATGTGGTGTCTGCATTTGCACTATTATAATTCATTTGATTTTAGTTCTTTTCAAACCTGACTGTGCAAGCATTATTCTGTGAAACAACTATTACAAATATAGAGGATCAAGAAAGAGGGTTAGAGTTGGCAGGAATCTGAATTTTAATAATCATCCCATATGATTCTAATGAAGAACGGAGCTTAGAAATTAACACTGTTTAAATGACCATACTACCCAAAGCAATCTATAAATTCACTACAATTCCTATTAAAATGCCAATAGCATTTTTTTGTGTGAACCTGAACAAATAATTCTAAAATTTTTATGGAGCCACAAAAGATCCCAAATGGTTAAAGCAATCTTGAAAAAGAACAAAAAGAACTGGTGATATCACTACTCCAGGTTTCAAAATATACTACAAAGTAATCAAAGCAGTATAGTATGGTACTGGCACAAAAAAAGGCACACAGATCAATAGAACAGAATAGAGAAACCAGAAAAACCCACACTCACATGGTCAATCAATCTATGACAAAGGAGGCAAGAATATGCAATGGGAAAAAGAGCATCTCTTCAACAAATGGTGCTGGGAAAACTAGACAGCTACATGTAATAGAATGAATCTGGACCACTTTCTTATACCATACACAAAATTAAACTCAAAGTGGATTAAAGACTAAATATGAGACCTGAAGCTAAAAATCATAGAAGAGATCATAAGCATTAACTTCTCTGATGCCAGCCTTAGAAACATTTTTCTAGACATGCCTCCTAAGGCAAAGGAAACAAAAGCAAAAATAGACTATTGAGACAACATCAAAATGGAAAGCTTTCGTACAATGCAGGAAACTATCAACAAAGCAAAAGGCAACCTACTGAATGGGGGAAGATATTTGCAGTTGATATACCCAATAAGGGGTTAACACCCAAGATATATAAGGAACCAATACAACTCAACACCAAAATATAAATAAATAAATAAAAACGATCTGAATAAAAAATGGACAGAACCTCTGAACAACATTTTTTTTTCAAAGAAGGCACAGAGATGGCCAACAGACACATGAAAGGATGCTCAACATAACTAATCATCAGGGAAATGTAAATCAAAATTACAATGAGATATCTCCTCATACTTGTGACATGGCTAAAATCAAGAAGACAAAAAATAACAAATGTTGGTGAGGATGTGGTGGAAAAGGAGCTCTTGTGCTCTGTTGGTGGGAATGTAAATTGGTGCAGCCATTGTGGAAAACAGTATGGAGGTTCCTCAAAACATTGAAAATAAAAAATACCCATAATCTAATAATTTCACTACTGGGTATTAACCCAAATGACACAAATACACTAATTTGAAAAGATGTGTGTGTGTGTGTGTGCACGCGCGCATGTGTGTGTGTGTATAATTTCCCTATATTTATTGCAGAGGTATTTACAATAGTCAAGATACCCGTACAAAAATACCCATACCCATACAAAATACCATGGGTACAAAAATACCCATAATCTAATAATTTCATTACTGGGTATTAACCCAAATGACACAAATACACTAATTTGAAAAGATATGTGTGTGTGTGTGTGTGTATACATATATATATATTTATATATTTATCGCAGAAGTATTTACAATAGTCAAGATACTGAAGCAACCTAAGTGTCCACTGATAGAGATAAGGAAGATGTGGTGTATGTGTGTATATTGTAGTAGCATTGTATGGTGACAAATGGTAGCTACAGTTGTGTTGAGCATAGCATAACTATAAAGAAGTTGAATCTCTATGTTGTATACCTAAAACTAATGTAAAATTATGTGTTAGCTATACTCATATAAAAATATGTAAAGAAAAGAATGGAGTTTAAAAGCCATTGTTTTACTACCTTTTTCCTGGTCTTCTTTTAATATATATATCCCTCTTCTTTAAAATACCATCATATATATATATATATATATATATATATA